GAACAACAAATAATTAAATTAAAGAGAAACTAGACGATCAAACCAAATGTGATGGACAATTAAGCTTGGCTTTAAGATGAACACTGAAAATTAGTTTCGGTCAAGCCCTCGATATGGGCTCGGTTGCAACTAAATAAATGAGTAGTTGAAGAACATTTCGAACAATAGCTAGAAGACAAAAAAATATATAATGAACTTTATTACTTTAATGTGCGTGCAATAGTGGTCGAAAAAATAAAAAGGTTCTCCCCTTTATATATTAGGGGAGTTTCAATCCTAGTACAAATTTAAATAATGTAAAAATCCTTCTCTCCTAGTAAATTATGATCAGCAGTTGATATCGGGTGAGATTTGTGCCGTAATATCCGGTTGATGACGGATATTTCGGCCCCTCGTTCATTCTCTCTGATCGTCCTCCCCATGGCCTCAGTTCTTTGTTTTGCTCGAGCTTGAATCCTCTCATGTTTGGCCATGTCCGGATCTTGTCGCGTCACTTGTCCCCCCGATCTCCGACCTGGGGAGCTGTTGGCTCTACCCGAGACTGCGTCAAACCACGCGGTCTTCTCATTTTTTCGAAAAATTAGGAGTAACTTTATCCCCGATTTTACCCGTACACAAAAAGAAAGTATCGCAGGATTATTTTTGAGAAGATGAGTACAACTTAAGCATAGGGAAGATGAGACACATTCTCACGTTTCTATTTCAAGCAATTTGGAGAGTCGTCTTATGCAACATTCCTTTAGCGAGGCCAACAAAGTTGTTGATTCTCTCGCTTCAATTGGGAAATCAAGATCGAGGATCGGCATGAACATGGAACCCTCTTACTAGACTAGAATTACCCACTTTTATATTCTTTGTTTTATTATCGCTAAGACTTAAATGGAAATACATCTTATAGATTAGTTTTCTTTTGTAATAACACTATAATTTCTCTTATCGCAGGGGTGAAGGGCAAAAAAAGAAAAGGGAATAAAAAAGAAAAGAAAAACACTAAACTTCATGAAAATACGGTAACCCAAGCGGATAAATATTTGTTATGATGATCAAAAGGCAATTGGTAGATGTTGAATGGTCACCGATGAGTCAGCTACTCCACGATGCATCTGTTGCCTTCCAGCACCACATCTGTTACTTCCAGTGCGGTTAAGTATTTATTCATATATAATTGCACAATTATGAAAGTAACATAACATATGCAAGTTCGAACTTAATATCGAAAAACAAAGATAGTGAGTGTAGTAGTACTAAAATTATACTAGTGTAAATCCTTTAATATGCTCTTAATTCAAAGGGTACAAAATGGAAAACGTAATTTGACATGTTCTACTTTTACGATGCTATTTTTAGTGTCAACTGTCAAGTAGAACCTCCTTATTCACAAAATAACTATTACTCCTATGTGATAAGGGAAAAAAGAAGAAAACAATAAAACTTAGAAGCATAATATGTGTCTAGATATAGATTTCTCATTTAATTATAATTAATTGATATGTTTTTTTCACGTCATAAAATTAGTTAATTGTGATAAATTAATATGATCTGATATAAACAAATAATGCCAATAAATTTTATACTTATCTATATATATCAAAGCAAGAAAGTTACCATACATAATTGATATTATGGTTAAGCCAAGTGACAAGCTAATAAATGTCAATAGTATATGGTAACTTTATTCTATATTTAACTATTTTAGTTAAATACAAATATATATATA